ATATATATATATATATATATATATATATATATATGTGTGTGTGTGTGTGTGTGTGTGTGTATGTATATATGTCTTTTGGGCATGTTTTTCCACGTAGGTTGTTTATATGAATTTGTAGTTTATTTCCATACGCTATGTATGACCTACACTTATTTCATGTTTATATCTTAGACAAATGCTTAGGGATGTTCGATAGGTAGAATTCGGGCACTCGTCACGGCCCATCAGTTTGGGTCGTGACAGCCAGGTTTTGGGATACTTGCATGATGCTCAACTCGTACATAATAGCATAATGATTATCAACTGTTCCATGAACTTTCTTCATGAATAAATTCTGGATTTAAGGTAAGTAGTTTACTTTATTTTTCTCTTTTAAATTCTTAAAATTCTATAATTTGATTTTAAATACAAGCAAAGACAATAAATTTTGATTATAACTCTAATGGAGTTTGTAAGAAATTATAACCACCCGAAGTGGTAAAATTTTTATATCTTGCCATGATCAAATTCATGTATGAATGTGAGCACAAGAAGTGAAAACCCGTCCCATTGAATTTGTTTTATTCTCGTTTCCTTAAGAGAATGTAGTAGCAATATGCAATAAGTCTCAAAGAAGACAAAATTATTACTGTGAAGGTATTAATGGATGTGGACGTGGCAATCGACGAATTATAATCGTCATCATTGTGTTAATGATAATAATAAGGATTCTCAAAATAATCCTTCACTCTGTGAAAGTAATGTTTGTCATCTATTTGACATGAGATTTTGTAAAGCACATATAGATGATTATGGTTCATTCATGGTGTGAATATGACAACATCTGATTTATGAATACATATTCATTCTTGAAATAATATGAATGTGCTAGAGGTAGTGGATATACCACACTAATCTCTAGAAAGAGGTTTGAGATGAAATAAGAAAATAATTTCATTATTATAGCATGTGGTAATTGATCACGTACCTATTGTGATTATGCCAAAATGTTATGGCCATGTAATTATTACAGGGCAAAAGTAATAGAAGCAACATATCTTGCCTATAATGATTTTGACCATAATGGTATAACTTTCTCCTTAAAAGAGATATTCACCATATGAATGTTGATGAATATGTGATAATACAAAATTAATTAAAAGCTCTAGAAGAGCCAATTATACTACTTTGGAGAAATAAAATTGATTATCAATAAGGTATGGTGTCGTAGTAAGTCTCAAAGAAACTTATTGAGTTTCTAAAGTATCCGCGAAAGCGGTTGGTTATATTGAGACTATAAATAATCAGAAGATTTAATATCTTTATATTACTACAACTGTAGCGGGGTAATATGTATATGAAAACTACCCGCTTTATTTCCTGATTTGTACTACACAAATAAAGAATATGGTGAAATTACATGACGCAGTAAACTAGAAGTTTATTGATATAAAAACCTATACCGTAATAAACTTGGAGTTTATTGATAATTGCACATGTCATGGTGTAAACCTAAAGTTTATCAATATTGATAATTTATCCAGTTGGCATAACTAGTTTAGCTATATCAATTTAAGTATGATGTGCAAAAATAAAAAAGAATTCACATGGGTAAATATTAAACAACTAGAAAGTTCTTTACGAATTTTCTTATATTGTTTGTTCTCATTAATTAATAGACCAACTAAAATTGGGATTGAATCCCATGAATGCTGGAAATATCAAAGGTGAATATGAGCTCATTCACCTGCCATGTATACTACATAAGATGCATATATGAGATGGTTACATGTGCGATTATTATTAACCCGCATCCTGATATTTGCGAGGTAACTTGCTCAATAATTTAATTTCAAGCATAATTTCCATATATTCTATTTAAGACAGTTCATCTTGATGAGTTGGTTTACATCACAGCTGGTTTAGCAAAATAATTTATTGAGTGCCTCCACTTAATAGTTAAACTATTGCTTATGAGAACAAAGTTATCTATATCAGTTTGATATAGGTTATATACAAAAGTATATTACATTATTCCCTCATAAATGGTTCAGGGTCAGGAACCAAATAATTTCATCTTATTATTATTGACGTGCGGTGTATATTTTGATCAACACCATAACGCACAAAGGTGAGTTTCTAAAATTGAGGAAGCAAGTAAGTTTTTCTAACATGAGGGGGAGACAGGATAAACAATTGAGAAAAAGTTACGGAATGAATTATCATTCGTACATCTAGATCCTCGAATAAGATAATATGAACTTGAAGTTCATAAAAAGATAATTCATCTGTAATATATTGCAAAACATGCCAGAAGCATTTGCTGACCCAAAGAAAGTAACTATATTTTCACTGTAAATGCTCCTATTAGAATAAGTCCTAGAAGGACAAAGTCTATGGTACACTTAAAGCGTATAAACAAATCGGTTTCAAATAAAATTCTTAATAAAGAAGATGAGCAAATGATCAAAATGATCATAATAAGGAGGCAAGTGATCTAGAAGATCACATGACATAATATTTCATAAAATCTCAGGAGAGGTTCAGGTACCTGAAAATATGAATGAAGAGATCTCTATGTTATGTCTTTATGAATAAATAAGGTTGGAACCAATATAAAATATTCCTCGACTACATTTATGATAACGCTGAATATATATGAGGATCTTAAGTTTGGAGAAACAATTCAAGTAGAATTGGTTTCATACAAAAGACATGTATGTTTTGACCTGCAGATCAAACACCTGAAAGTAAAAAGTCAATGGTGTGTGCAATCACTTTTATCTATCTTATGTGTCTAGCATGACATGAAAACTTGATATGCATCTAAAGTCTATTTATATGGCTTATATGACTTAACTTATATGACAATCCATGAAGGATTTAAATCGCTTAAAGCATATACAATTCTTGGTCCAGAAGTACCACATCCTAAGTGCAATTTGTGCACATATATATCTTGCTATAACTATAAGCATGACAATGTGATACCGAAAATCTTTACCCCTATGTGAAGATATTCAAATGAGATTCCAACAAGATCATATGAAGACAATACATCTCAATCAAGAATGATGATTTCAAAGTGAAACAAATTCATTCAAGTTAATACGGTTGATTATTTATCAAACCTCTATCAACGATCTTTTGAAGATGGTATACAAGATTGGAATGCGAATGCTCAAAGATGTGAATTGATGCTCTCATCAGGGGGAGTTAATATACGTTGTACTCTTTTTCTCTGACAAGATTTTGTCCCACTAGATTTTTCTTGCAAGGTTTTTAACGAGACAACTAAAAGGCGTATTGTTAGATATGTGTACTCTTTTCCCTTCACTAAAAAACTTTTCCATTGGGTTTTATTTTAGTTAAGATTTTAGTGAGGCACATTATGTGTTGAATAGACATTCAAGGGAGTGTGTTATAAACAGAATTGTATTTAAGGTGAATGTCTATATGTTAGAGAGATTTTAGGGTTTGTTACTTTGTGGCTAAATCACTTTTTTCCTATAAATAGAGAGATTTTATTCCATTATAATTGATCACAAATCAATAAGAATTCTTTCTCTACTTTTCTCTGCAATACTCTTCTTCTTCTTTTATTGTTTTATAACAATTTTATTTTTATTTAGGTAGGAGGAGTTGGAATTGGTGGTGGAATGCAATTGGTTCTATACAAAGTTTAAACGTATTCAACTAGTTATATTTGTGGCAAAATTGCTTAATTTGAAAAGCTCCAAATACGTTGAGGTTTTGAAATAGAAGAAATGGCAGGAATTAATAACTATTTGAGTGATGTCATAAATCGACTTGAAGTTAGTAATTGGCATATCACTTATTTCAATCCAGTATTGGTTGCATTGAAAGAGAAAAGAAAAGGTTGATTAAACAAGTTTTATATCAATTTATTAATCATTCGATATCATAAGAGTAAAATAAAATTTGATACTACCAGTAATACACTTCAAGTTAGCATATCATTTCTTACTCTAGAGTCTAGAGTCATATTTTCTTCCCGATTAAAATACTTTCTTTTTCAATTTAGACGATATAGTTTGATTTGACACAAAATTTAAGAAAAAAATGAATATTTTTGAATCATGTGATCCTAAAAGCTTAAGGGGGCAAAAACTTTATAGGGCCATGATATTTTTGTGGCTATAAAAACATATCATTAAGAGTAGAGTAAGTAAAATAAAAAGTTTAAAGTTAAATTATTTTCAAATATATAAATATGTCATTCTTTTTAGAACAGACTAATAAGTAAAGTGTGCCGTACAAGTTAGCACTAAACACACCCAAAAATAAATAAATTATCCCCTTGATCCTTTGACTACAATGAAACACTTAGTCTTCCTAGAGGTCTGCTGCGTATCTCCAAGTCCAAATCTGGACTTTTTTTTCAACTCCAACATCTCCCACTCAGACATGAATCTTCTTCATTTTCATCCAATTCCACAGTGCTCACTCAATGTCTCCTCCCCTACAATTTCACGTTTTCATGTAGGTTCTTATTCTTCTTTTCCCCCTTCTTCACAGTCTTTGAGCTTGAGGAGGAACATTAGTTCTTTCACAATTTCAGCAGGTTCAAGAGCAACTGGTCCTAGACAAATTCCAGCGCGAGACAGAGTCATAGATTTTGGAAAATACAAAGGTAAAATGCTGGGTACACTCCCATCTAAATACCTCAAATGGGTTTCCAAAAATCTTCGAGCTCGTGATTTTGAAGAGTGGGCCAAGCTCGCAGATGAAGTCCTTTCTGACTCTGTGTATAAGGACCGAATTGAGTGGGAGTTTGCTCAGAATCTCCTGAACGGCGACGTTTCAGCAAGCACACAAAGCGCGGTTTCTGAGTTGCTGGAAATCAGCACAAGATTTGGTTGGGACAATGAAGACAAGTTGGGTTGGAGCAAAATTGATTATGAACTACTTGGTACATCCAAAGGCGGTCGAATACCAAGACTTTCTTATTCTCCAAATAACAACACCAATTTAAAAGGGATTGCTGAAGTTGATAGTAGTCAGGAGGAGGAAACTGGAAAAGGTGAAAAAGACAGTAGGGAGAGAAGACGGGAACGGATAAGGTTACAGAGGAGAAAGAATGATTCTGGCTCACCTTCAACTATGACAGAAAGAACAAGAAATTTACAGAATCCTGAGAATCATACTGATTATAATACAATCAACAAAGACCATTCTGTATCAAATACTGGAAGTCGTTTTCCTGGTCGCGAGGCATTGTTGAAGGCGGCCTTGTCTCTTGGTAGCAGGAAACAGTTTTAGCAACTGTGCAATCATCTGTTTTGAGGTTGTCAGTGTATACACAAATAGAATTCGTTCTTGATTAAAGCATTTTGCTAATTAAACATTGTCTTATCAGCACGCAGAACAAACTGGTTCCCAAATAATATGTCAAACGAGAGAGCTAAAAAACAAAGATAGTTCAATCTCTGCCCGCATAAGACCGCGTTACATTTGAAATTCAATCAGGCTAACGGTACTATGAGTGCTGTGAGCACCTAATTTTTACAATCCATAATAACACATAATATTTTGTGGGTAGAAAAGAGGGTGTGACAAGTATAAGAACTACTCACGACATAATAGTGAGAAGAAAGAGTGAACAAAAACAAAGAGGAAAAGCCATTACTTGAACACCCAGGAGATCTAACGCATACAACCAAAAAAACAAAAATTCACCTAAACATAAGAGGGTCCTTTTTCTTTTTTGATTTCCCAACTGTTGTTTTGTATCCGCGTTAGAGCTTCGACTAATCCGGATTCGTGTTGCGCAAGGCCCATCAGAGGGGGAAGTGCTCCCTACCAGGATTTTTTCACACCTAAAAATAGAGGATGAAAAAGATAAACTACGACATACTAACTGAATAATGAAAATGGCAGAGAACATAGCTGAGAGAACCACCAGAAACATATGCATGCCAACCACTTAACAATAACAACAGCAAAGCATAACCTGTTAACATAAATGTCAATGTCAAAGTAAATATATTGAAAAGGCAAAAACATATTCAAATTTTCTTTTCTTTTCAAAGGAGTTATTGGTTCTAGTGTAGCTTCTCCAGTCTAAACAAAAAAAACCTAAGATGTATTTACATTAACTTCACAATAGATCAGACTGTAACAGAGTCAAAAGGGTCTAATCTTGACCTACTTGCATCATAGTCAATTAGGATCTAAAAGATGAGGCAACCTTCCAAATTTGAGATTTGTGTAATAAAATAGATGATATAGCAAAGAACTACATTTATGCTTGAAAATCTTAACTTATCCATTTTCTTAGTCTGGCATGCATTTATACATGAATGAAGCTGATAAGGATACAATGGCGAGGAGCAACAGCCACAGTTAACTTCATGAACCAGGATAGTACCCTTCTTATAACCATCACAGTGGAAGGCAGAAAACCAGAAAGCTAGTTATAAACACGAACAAATTTAAATCAGTTTTTACCTTGAAAGGGAAATTAAGCTCAGAAAACAATTTATGACCACAAAAATCACCAGCAGGGTCACATTTGAAGCATTCTGCTCCTTTTTCCTCACCAATTCCCAAAATGATAGCAAGTTCACATTAACAAAGAAAGACATAAACAGGAATGAGTAAAATGCAGAAGCACAAATGCATTTACCCTCCTCCCCACCAAGAAGAAGAAAAGGAAGGAGGAAATGCATCACAAAATTCAATCAAACCAACACCATAGGCATGCCGCAGGTAAATCCAAGATGTCTGCAATCCTGCAAGCAGATGCTCGTTAGCTGAATAGAATTTTACCACTGAAAATTCTAGTGGAAGAACTCTTCTCGCACTCTCATAGTTTTATTAGTTATTCATTCTAGCCGATGTATTATACCATTGTCAAAGAAAGAGCATCCATAAAATTCTTGAATATTTATTGGATTCCTCCAACAACTCAAACAGAAGATTTATGGCTTGTGAAACTAAAGCTTATCAAGGAAATCTATAGAAAAGAAATGACATGTCAAAAGCTACTCCACAGTGGAAGGCAGTAAACCAGAAAGCTAGTTATAAACACGAAAAAATTTAAATCAGTTTTTACCTTGAAAGGGAAATTAAGCTCAGAAAATAACTTATGACCACAAAAATCACCAGCAGGGTCACATTTGAAGCATTCTGCTCCTTTTTCCTCACCAATTCCCAAAATGATAGCAAGTTCACATTAACAAAGAAAGACATAAACAGGAAGGAGTAAAATGCAGAAGCACAAATGCATTTACCCTCCTCCCCACCAAGAAGAAGAAAAAGGAAGGAAGAAATGCATCACAAAATTCAATCAAACCAACACCATAGGCATGCCGCAGGTAAATCCAAGATGTCTGCAATCCTGCAAGCAGATGCTCGTTAGCTGAATAGAATTTTACCACTGAAAATTCTAGTGGAAGAACTCTTCTCGCACTCTCATAGTTTTATTAGTTATTCATTCTAACCGATGTATTATACCATTGTCAAAGAAAGAGCATCCATAAAATTCTTGAATATTTATTGGATTCCTCCAACAACTCAAACAGAAGATTTATGGCTTGTGAAACTAAAGTTTATCAAGGAAATCTATAGAAAAGAAATGACATGTCAAAAGCTACTCCACACAAAATTTGCTCTTACTTTTGACTTAGAAAAAAATTCACGAACAATGGTACTTTATATAATTAACTGGTCAAGTAGAAAGCGAAGATCTTTTTTTAAAAAAAACTACAGACAATTAACGCTCACCATAGAGCATTTAGTACCATTGTCTAAAGAAAATAGATCCCGGAAAGTAGAGGTAAACTAAAGAAAGAAACTCAAGCATAACCAATAGAATGCTCACCATTTTCACATCATCTGCTCAGTCTCTTCCCTTAACACGGGATCTTATGGATCACTAACCAAACCCTCAAGACAACCTCTAGATCAAAATTGTAGTACTACCTGCAGTTCTTACAAAAGAAATGCCAAATTGTTTAACGGAAAACGGAAGAATACCACCAAGAAGACAAAGATATCAATTCCCAGGAACTTCAGGATCGTTTAGGACACAGTAAAACATTAGCTTAATATCCCCCC